AACGGGGTTCTTGGGAAAATATTCGTCTAAGAATAGATTGTTGTCGCGATCAGCATTGACGGAATCTGGGGACGCAGTATGTTCGTCACGGGAACCGAAGTTATCCTCAAGGTGAGGATGTTCTTGGATTTTGTTGGTCTTGCATGCCGGGGAGAGCACAATATTTCCAGGTAATTGGTGATCATTATGGCCGGCCATGATTGATGAATGAGGAGGATCCTTAGTCTTCGAATTCCGAGGAACAGAAAATGGGGAAGATAGTTTCCCACAGTCGGCGCTACTGATCTTACCGGTTGATCAGAACCTGCAAGCTGACAGGAGGATGATCTTTGACGGGCTAGAAAAGTTGAGGAAAAAGGGGGGGGGGGGGGGGGGGGGGGGTTGTACCTGTAAGGCACTCGGACGATCAAGTAAGTACGGGAGAAAAGAGATACGAGTAAAGTATTAGGGTTTCAGAGATGAATCTTGGATACTTGACCCTCACATGTGTGAGGGTTTATATAATGTTCCCCCGGCGCATAGCCATTAGTTCCTATTTTTGGGCCTAGATATACGGGTCCACTAAAATAGGTAACTGCCAGGACTGGATCAAAACGGGCAGGTATGCTTGTAAGTAGTCGTTTGTTCTGAGGAGGAGGATTACGGGCAGATGGCCGTTTTGGTCGTTTCTTGAGTGTTTGTCTGACTCGTGTCGGGCTGACGGGAGACATTCACTGATCTGGTCAAGCGTGTATGTCGGGCATAACTGGTCGAATGACAAGTGTCATGGTCGACCAGAGTGTAGGGCCGTTGTCATCGAGTCGTGCCAAGGGCTATAGTGGATTGGGTCAATCCTAGTCATTGGGCCGGTCCATAACAGATGGTAAGAGAAATGAAAGGCGAGGCCTTTCACATTTTCTGGATGTAAAAAGTGATAGAGAAGCTCTCTATTTATAAGAGAAGGCGTGGTATAAATTCGGAAACAATCTATGGGCATATTCAATATGCTAATCGATCAGGCAACCTAAATAATTGATTTCTAAGGCCACAATCGAAAGTTTTTGATATAGAGTCGTTATCAATCCTTAAGAGACTATTTCAATAGATTATAGACATAACCAAGAATCATCCAATCAATTAGGAAAAATATCTAATCGATTACACTATTAGAAAAAGGTCGTTCAATTAATTAGATACTCCTCTAATCAACTGGGTAGACCTCAAAAATATTTTTTCTTTGGTGATTTAATTAAAAATGTGAAAGGCTTATTAATGTTTTGTGTGTGTGATTTAATCATTATGTTTTCAAAAATACCCCTGTGTCTTTACAAGACATTGGTCACTCATACGAACACAACCAGATGAGTTTTCACACTTCCTCTCTTTTACACCATGAAGCTTCAAGTCTAAGCATTATCTTTAACTACAGCATCATACAAGAACCTTTAGTCTTCTTGATGAGGCTTAAGATATCTTCGTGTTGATTACCATCATCTGAGAATTTGAAAGGTTAAACCATCAATGATCCTTAAAACCTAACTCTTCACTTGAAAGTCTTTGGACTACATTGTTGAATTTAAATAGATGTCTTTAGCTTGATTCAAGATAATATCTTGATCAATCAACTTGTGTATCTTTGACCCCTTAAACTATCTTCAGCAATTTCTTAACTTCGAGTGTTGTCATCATCAAAACTAAGCAGATATAGGTTGTCTTGCAGCTTTGTTATCCATAAGCTTGATTTGTTGAACTACAGTATCAAACTTAAATAGATGCCTTTAGCTAGATTTGGATGGATAGCTTGATCAACCATCTTGTGTATCTTTGACCCCTTGAGCTATCTTCAGCAGTTGCTTAACTTCGAGTATTGTCATCATCAAAATTAAGCATTTGCATATTGTCTTACAGCTTTGCTATCCATAAGCTCCACCATCTTGCATCACTTTGACTATATCTGCAAGTACATAGATCTATATTCTCCCTCCTTTTTATGATGAAAATGCATATATCATGAAGGTGATAAAAGAGAAAGCAGATAGAAAATTTTTAAAGTGGTTAAACTCTTCCTCCCATGAATAGAGAGTATACTATACTTTTCTTGAGAGTGAACTTTTCCCCTTTGAAATAATAAAAAGGCAGAAAAATATTCCAGAAAGTAATTGTAAATATACAAACACATAATTCTCATAGGTCAAACATATTTTATTAAAGAAGAGAAAATATTACTTTATTAGCTAAAATACTTGAATTCAAATATTGACAAAGGAAAATACTAGAAATTATGAAGATTCTAGAAAACATAAAAATGCATAAAATTAAACACATTTAATTTCTAAGACTAAAACACATTGGTGAGAGTACTCTTTAGTATCCTCATCATCATTAATGAACAATCCTGGAGGTGGTTTTCCTAAGTCTTGGGCAAAGTTATGGGGCATGAAGTTGATATTCTCAATAGTTCACTTTAGTTTCTTGATGATGTCCTTGAGAAGGTCTTCAACCGGGGGTGCTTTGAGAATATCGTAGTCAAAACCTTCTACACTCACAAGAGCTTCTGTTGAGAGGATTCTAATTGTTCCATGGCTATTTTCTTTTCTTTGGGAGGCTTCTGAAATATTTCTCCATCAATAATTTCGAATCACATTAGTCCTAGTGTTGCCACTCTTATTCTTTTTCACATTTTGCACTGATGTTTCTCCTTCAAAGTTATACCTAACATGTTCCAAGATCTTCATGACTAAGTCATTATATGGTAGGCATATTCCTTTCCTCTTGCTTCCCAGCATTTGTTAGATCATCACACTTGTCCATTTTGTCTCAATTTTGTTGGCAAGTAACCACCTTATGGCAACATTAGTCCTAGTTAAGTGACTAAAGTTGTTCTTTTTTAAAAAGAGTATATGATTTGCTACATAATGAATTAGACTAATATTCGGGTGCACGAATACTGTAATGAGTGGAGAAGACACGTGAGATTTTGGATCCAACAGAAAAGAGGAGACAATATTTTTATACATGTAATTGTCACATTTTTCAGGTTCATCTGGCTTGAAACGAGGTCCATCATGAGGTAGATCCAAATATCATCGGTGAAGTAGAGATTTGAGTAAAACACTTTGACTAAGGATGAATACACTTCTCTTGGAGGGTTGCAAATGAAAGCTTTTCAGCTTACTTCTTCGAAGGTATTGAAGAATTCACATTCTTGAAATATTTTAGCATCCAAGGTATGAACGCCTAAGATTGTCCTATTTGCATATTCGTGAAAGAATCTTCCTTCTTGTTCTTGAGATGAGAAATCATCATACAGAAGAACAAGATAGGGGAATCTTAATATCTTAGGTGTCATAATGATGATGATGGAAGACTAAAGTACTCTCTTCATTTCACAATAGGTGTCTTCTTTGACATTTTCACACTTTTTAAGATAATGATTAATTATATTGATTTCAATGATAAAATGGATCTCATTTACTAAAATAACCTTATTAATAATAGATAGTGCAATAGTTATATGAATTAAAATATAATAAATAAGGATAAGATAGTGGAAAGAAGTAATAAATATCATCTTGGTATTTTAAATTGACAAATAATTTGAGACAAATAAAAATTGTAAAGAGGACACAACAGGGATGGAGTAGTATTCTAACACACACAAAGAAAAAATAGGAACATAACCCCTCATTCCCCATGCTCTTGAGAGTTAGGGGTATTGTTACTTGGAGCCTAAGATCCAAGCCCAAGAGACTCCTATAAATATATCAATCTTAAAATTGTGGGAGACATTCAATTCACTCATAAAATACCACTATACATATATTCTTATCATTCCTAAGTGAGTTGCTCTAACACCACAACAATTCTAAAACTCTTAAACAACCTTACATAATTGAGGATTGTCACTTATTATACTTTTACCATTGTATTGTTGATGTATTTTGGTGTTATTGGTATATTACGTTGTTGAATTTGATTTAATGAAATGTTTATTTATTTATTAGATTCACCACGTTAGGATTCTAGAATCTAAGAGGTTAAAAATATGCTCCAAATTTGAAGAATATTTTTTAATCTTCAAAGAACTTCTAAGATAATATGTTAGGGAAGTTCACTTAAAACTTTGATTATCGATCGAAATACTGTCCGTTGTGAATGTGAGAACAACGCTATAACTTCAATCTTTAAAAAATGTGCTTCATTGGAAAAAAGAAAGTGACATTTAAATCAAATAAGTAATCAATTTTAAAAAAATAAAGTTTGTTTTTACAAAAATGAAAAAATCAGGTAAATAAACTGCAGATCAACAAATATTTAATAATCGATGACTGACAAAGTTGTCTTATATCGGTCCTATAATAATGAGCGGTGATTGTTGGTATAATGTCAAAAGACATAAATGTTCAATATACAATGTATTTGGTGCTTCTAATGGTTATTTTGATTTTGTATTACAAACAATTAATGTGGCATTGGAATAATCATTTGGTTTATTATTTTTCACAATTTCGTCGTCAAAAACAATAAGTGCACGGTTGAACTTGTAATGAACCTCATTGATGAAGCTAGAAAGTAGGTCTGTTTGGTACCTTATTTTTTACAGGCCTGTCTTGGTAACTTAGTAGTCTGTTTTGTACAATTTACTCATTCATTATGTAGCTGCATCTGTGTTTTTTTCACTGAGTTCTTTGTAATGGTTACTGAAGGAAATATCTAAAGTGATGAACCAGCATCTATTTTTTTTTTTTTATAAAAATGTACCACCCTTTTATTTCCACATATCCATAATACAACACCGTGGTTTTGTTTAAGTTTTATAGTTTAATTTTTACTTGTGATTCTGACAAACTACTGAAATCTTTTGGATCTAACATTACAAGTACTGATGATAATAATTTTCACATTGAATAGTTCCTTTTTAATAGGAAAAGAAACTATACGAATTTTAAAATATAATAAATGTTAGAGGAATTTTATTAAATAAAAAATGATAGTACATGTTTACAGTATTTGCAGAGAAATCACCATGAAAAGGGACTAGCTCCTAGCAAAAATATTTCATTTTCCACATCTTTTATCCATTGACAAACACGGTTGCATGTCTTTATTGCCAAGGCCTGCATGTAGTCGATGGTGTGTACATCAAACCAGAGTGTCACAAAAATATACATAGCCTCTAATCGACAACAATAGATTTGAAACATGCAAGAGATGCATAATGATAGATCCAAACTTGTAACGTGTTTTTCATAAAAGGTTTTCATTGACAGTTGATTATGAATCTATGCGTAGAGACTGATAGATAACAAATGGGGAGGGGTATTCATAGTTGTAATGGAAAATGATGATATAGAAAAATAAGAGAGGAATTGTACCTTGTCTGCAAGGGGATCAAAGGCTGCATAAAGCTCAAAATCCTGTGTCACCCAACATAAAAGAACTGCCACAAAAAATATCAAATGAGTTTTGTCTTCTATTGGTTTATCTTTTCTTGGCATAAATCTACACGTCTTTATGGTGATCAAGCTAATTCTCTCCGTAGAATTGTCTCTTTCTAAAATAACCATCAAAGCTTAAAACTAAGGACAAAGCCATAAATAAAAACATGAACTTATTATGCCTCGTCGCTCCTATTTACCTTACACAGTCAAAATGCACAGTGCAGAGATCCATTTTATTTTAGACAGAAATGCGAGCAATAAGAGGTTAGAGCCACAATATTTCTTACCATAGTTTTCATCTCTTCTAAATTGAGTTTTGTGCGGTCCGATTCCTTTATCATGCATTGATGTAAAAAGTTTCTGGTAAGCTCTACACAATCTGCAACAATTAAGAAAAGTTAGACTTCTGACAAGAAAACTTCATAGGACAATAAAAAATAAAAAAGGCCATGGCGACAAAAGGCATAAAATGCAAAAAGGTCGAGATAACAATTAATAATACCTTTTCTGCTGTTGACGAGTACTAATTGATGATGAAAATTCTGAAGACACGTATTGATCCAGGTATATACTGCGGTATATGAAATGCCACAAGCCAGCAGGACCCCCAATGACATGATTAACTTCCTTAAATCTTTCAGGAGAATCTGATGGAAGTGTGTGCTGGCCCAAATGAGAAGTTCCAGATTGAGGTATTGGTGGTAGATCCTCAACATGCATTCCTCCATCTAGCAAAGATCTCTGAACTTCACTAAGAACATTTGACTTCAAAAGGACCATTTCAATACGAAGCCTACAAATTTGCATAGAAAGATAATTGCTAAACAAATACATGTGGTCGCGTTGTAAAGTTAAAGTATGCACCGCCACCAACAATAGTAAGAGTTGATTATGACTCATCATTTACCGGCAATCTTTAAGATGATAAAATGCATCTGAATTAGTGGTTAGCAACATCAAGTATGTGTCATCCTGCCACAGATATACAAAGAACTTTCAGTTGTGTCCTGATGTTAAAATGATAAAAATGACTGATGCTAAATGTATTAAAATCTAACTCACATCAAAATAATGGATATAAGCATACAGAAAAGCTGAAGGATTATATCTTGGCAAGCAAACTGGAGAAAATGATTCTGACGTCCTGCATTATTTTATCCCATGAAATAGAGTAAGAACGTGCAGAAAGAATGTAAGAATGTTCAATAAGATATCCATATATTGCTGCAAATATTTAAGCTGTGTTGTTGTATGAATGCTTAATAACCAATAGCAATAGTAAATGAGCCAGGCTGAATATTTATACAATGTTAGAGCCAAATGAGAATGAAGCTGTAAATAAACAATTAGCTAAACCTTTAAGAAATGAGTAGGAAGTTATATCATCTGTCAGTGTGAGTACTATTTCAAACAAATCAATTCTACTTGCCTGAAAGATTCTGATGACATAACAAAGTTGGCCAGCAGCAGCATATCATCTGGATGAAGGGAAGCTTTCTGAGCACCAACAAGACTGATCACCTGAATTCAACCTTCAATAAGTTATTCTAAGTCAATACTCGGTATATGGATAGAAAAACTCAAGTAGAGTCAAACCTTGTGCCTGCACATCAGTGTTGCAAACAAAACACCAGAATCAGCAGTGTCTTGCAAGACAGCACCGGCAGCTTGCCTTGTTGCATAAGAAAGGGGAAGGCATGTATAGGCATGAAGAAATGTAGCCGGGTTCCTGAAATAGCCAGACAAATAACAGTATTACTATTTACTACCAAGACATAAAATAAAATGTTGGAAAGCTAAGCATCCTAAGAGCATAGAAACAAACCAACTGAAAGAGTGGATTAGTGAAGAGAAGACAGTGTCTGTTCCACCAAGTAAGGGCGTCATATCGAACTTCGAATTCCTCTCAAAACATTTGTTTATCGATTTTGTTAATATAACAAGCATCTGCAGATATATGGACAACAGCGAAGTGTCATATAACCACATAATACATCAATTTCAATGTCCTAATTAAGCAATAGCAATTTGAGAATTAATCAAATCCAGTAATTTTCACAATACAACTCAACAATACCTGGCCATAAATTAATTCCAACTGCCCTCTTAACGACTCGTAAGGTTCTTCCGTGGAGCTAATGCAGACCAAGTAAATTGGTCCTTTCACAAGAAAAACCACCTGCACAATAATTTCAAACTATAATAAAAAGCATATAATAATAATAATAGTAATAGTAATAATGATAATGAAGTATACAAAATTCAAGCATAGTAAAAACAATAAAAAATTAAAAAACCATATGATCCAAACCTGATGCTTTCCAGCTCTCACCAATTTGACAGAATCACCCCTAATAGACAGTGAAGTGCAAAATCATATCAAAATATGCACATACAGTAGTGTTGTTCAGTTAATTAGTTAATTAACAGTAAACATTAAGAGCCATTATATTAATATTTAATACCCGTTTTCAACAAAGGAAACGATTGCTTGCAAAGTTGCTGAAAACCCTGCAAGCTTGTGTTCATCACCGTACCTAAAAGGAAACAAAACAAAGCAAATAAACATGAATAAGTTCAACTGTTAAAGCGATTGTGAAGTGATTTTTGAATAAACAAATCCAAAAACTAACCTAGAATATATAGGTTTTCCAGAATTACTGAGAATAAAAAAATGCTTCTTCCTTTTTCTCCATGATATAGAACCATCATCCTGCACTTTATTCATCAATCAAACAGAAAATGATATTTATAGATAGATATATGGTTATAGTAATGCATCGGCGAAGATCGGTATAGAGAGAAAATCAATGTATGTACCTCATCCTGGTGTCGTTTTCCGGGAATCCAAGAGGAATTAGAATCGGAGATTGAGATTTCATCGATTTGATTTTGAATCCTCATTTGTTCTTGTTCAATTTCTTCTTCGTGTTCAATTTCGATTAAGGAGCCGGTGGTGGCGCTAGTGCTACCGCCACCTTCTCCGGCGTAACCGCTACTACTGGGGCTTGAAGGGAGATCCAGTTCTTGCTCTGAACCGGTTCTTACCCAGGTGATGTCTGAACCGGGTTCGATTGAAGTTGTTATATCTATCTCTCTATCTTCGGATTGTGATGATGCCATGGTGTTGATTGTGTAGAGAGAGAGAGAGAGAGAGAGAGAGAGAGTGGAGTGAAGTGTGAGGAGTTTTGGAGTTTTGAAATTCGTCTTGCTTGTTTGTTGTTTACGCTGCTGTCTGACAGTCGTTGGTTGATTGCCGTGGCTCAGTCTGTCTGACCGGTTGGTGCGTTCAGACGAGCCTACAGTCCTCACGTTTTTGGACCGGGCTAGTACATTCTTTTTCAATGCCCAAGCCCAACATTCTTTCTTATTCCACCCCTATAAGACGGAAAACAACTCTATACAAAATCGAAAATGCCCTTAAATTTTTGGAAATACATGTTTGTACGTATCTTTTGTATCTCCCGCTAACAAATAAATTTAGTTTCACTCTACAGTTAAATTTAAAGTTTTTTCAGAGATACTCTGAAACATAATGACAAATAAATTACGAATTGACTATTTCAAGGAGTTATACATAGATGTATCTCCTAGAAATACATTTCTGGAAACTGTCTGTGTTGATTCTCCAGCAATATATTTTCTGTTTTTAGATGTTTTTTAGTATTTTATGTTTTTGTTTTCATTAGGTATGGTTTATCTCGATGTTATCCCCCAAACCTATTATGTCTCATGATGTTTCACTTGTAGTAGTGAAGGAGGTAGATGTCGGAAACCATTTTAGAAATGAACAAGAGTTTGAATTTTGTGAATACATGCTTTAATAGATTCGTACAGAGGCATCTAAACTAGAGTTTGGTGTTGTAATCAGAAGGTCTGATAATGGTTCGGATGAAAGACGTGCATTTGTGACATTGACATGCAACACCTCTTGAAACTTCTAGATGATAACAATTATGTATCTAGGTGCCTAACGTGCATGGATGGAGTAACCACTAGAGATATATATCGGACTCATCCTGATTCCATAAAGTTGTTCAACAAGTTTCCCTTTGTATTCATCATTGATTCAACGTATAAGACTAACAACTACATGCTTCTTTTAGTGGAAATTGTTAGTGTTACCTCTACTGAGAAGACTTATTTTGTCGGTTTGCATTTCTAGAGTGCGAAAAAAAAGATAATTTTACTTGGACTTTAGAGTTGTGTCGGGCAATGTTTAAGGACCAAGAAGAAATGTCAAAAATAATTATTACCGACTGTGATATTGTTTTAATGAATTCGGTTGCAAAGGTATTTCCTACTTCTTATGCATTATTTTGTAGGTATCACATTATAAAGAATGTGAGAAATCGGTTAAGGCATGCGTCATAGTGGGAAAATTGTTAAGGCAATCGCCATAGTGGAAAAAAATAATGGATGCGTGGAATGTTATAATAAATTCTTCTATAAAAGAGATATATGATGATGATGTTATACATTTCAGGAAGGTGATCGAGAAATATCTCAATTTATTGAAATATGTTAAAGTACAATTTTGGACCAAGTTAAGGAGAAGATTGTCTGTGCTCTGACCGATCAGTCAGATACCTTAGAAATACAACAAAAAATTGAGTTAAGTCTGCTCATTCAGAAGAATTGTTTGGGAAACAATATGGGTGATTTATGTACAAATTGGGATTCTATGAACCAAACGATACAAAACCATCATAATAAGATACAAACATCATTTGGTTATAACATCACAGTATTGGAACACGGGTTCAGAGACAATACTCTTTATTATCAGTTGGTCGGTAACATGTCTCGATCAACTCTAAATCACATTTTCATGAAGCCAAAAGAACTGATAATGTAGGTTTAGATAGCTCTAAGTTTGGTTGCACACTTGTAAAAACCTATGGTCTCCTATGTGCTTGTGTTATATATAAAATGGTGAAACTTGATAACCCGATATGAACGGACAAGTTTGCACTCATTGGAAAAGGCTATGTTTTTATGATGATGGTGTTATGAAAGACGGTAAATCGAATGTCTCTATCTTGACCGAAAGGGAAGCGATACAAGAAAGATTTTTGAAAGTCGGCGACAACATGAAACCCCACATCAAAGAGTAATTAAGGAAGATTGCATATTCAAAGACCACGGACTTAAAACCACCCACTCATTCGATAAAAACAAAAGGAGCACCTAAGAAGGCCAAACCTACACCAAATGACAATTCAACGATACGAAGTCCTTCATATTTTGAACACGTTGACAAATTTTTTCCCGATTCACTAACTCCTAAATCTCATAAAAGTGTTTTCAAAGGAGATCGCATTAACAAACCACCTCTCTCACCTCCTCCACCAAAAATGCCATTCATTGAGGAGATGTTAGTTTTTATGCACAAATACATTGAACGAATCGTCAATGTCAAGGGTGACGGTAACAACGGTTTTCGAGTTGTTTCTGTTTTATTCAGTAAAGGAGAAGAGGATCACACACTTGCCAGTCATACTCTTATCTAAGAGTTGATGGGAAATAAAGAATCATACACATGACTATACGGGAATAAAGAAAATCTTAAATCAATTTATCATTCTCTTGTTCCTTGCATTAGTAGACCTGCACCGGAGGATAAATGGATGTGCTTCCCTAAAATGGGTCATCTCATAGTAAGTGTGTATAATAAAGTGTGTATTGATCTTACAAGATACAATTTCTTGAAAACTTTTTCCATTGCGCACTGCTCCACCTCCAAATACAAATGATTGTATTATCCGTGTTAGGTGGTTTCAAATTTGCGTTCAAGTTTATTTGAAACTGGGATTCTCTATACCACTTATATCACCAGAGTGGGCAGTTCATTATACAACTAAAGTCGAGACTTGGTCGGACCAGTTTGTTGAAAGGATGTAAGAGTTCACCAAATTGAACAAGAATGAAAGAGAAATAAATGAACAAAAATCAAAGGGGGTACCACCAATAGTTGTAGAGTTGGCTGGCGACAACTCATTCGGTTCATTTTAGTATTTATTTATTAATTTATTGTAAGCGGCATTATATTAATGTGTTATTATGTCTAATATATACATTTTGAAGTTTGTCAAAAAAATTCTGCATTGAATACATGTTCTATTTTTTTGTTCTGCTCTGCCAGGGAAAGTTCCGAAAATACATCTCTAAAATAAAGGGTTGTTCTGAAGATACATTTCTGGAACATGCCCTGGTACAAGATAGATTTTGTAAGGTCTATATTAGTCTACCACTATTATAAATATAGAGCACTTGCCATTTTTTATACCAAAACACAATACACCAAAATGAACATCATTCGGCAGATCGGGAATATTCACTTTGATGACGTGACACCCTCAAGAGAATTTAAGATCACTGAATACACTCATCTTGAAGATCTGCAATAGACATTACAGGAACTTCTACCATATGATGACAATTAAAAAATCGTGAAGATCAAGTACCACTCTTTATCTGTTGGCAAAGAAAGGAAGATTGAGTTCAACAACTATGAGCTGAAGACGACCGCTTATTTAAGGAATGTATGGAGAATTTTTTCCGTTTAGAATCAAAAGTTCTAATCGAGTTGGATGCGACTATTTCGAGATTGGTAGATGATATTATCAAAATATTGCAGTGTCTACCTAGATATTGAAATGTAATGTTTGATATATGTTAAAATCCCTTATGTATTGATGATTTCAGGATATCAATGATATTTTCATTTTGTCAACATGTTATCTTTCCATTCTGTTTTCTGTTTCTACTTCGTAATTGTCCAGAAACACATCTTTAAAGGTCATACAGATATACATCTCCAGAATAAATGTCTCATCAATAAACGTTTACTGCGTTCGGATATACATCTTCGAAACTTAGGGGCGTAAATATATTTTCACGCAGTGCACTAGAGAAGTATATGGTGCATTAAGAAATCCCCAAATTAAAAATATGTGTTATATATGATTATAACTAGGCACATTTTCAATTATACCTTACACCCCATTTTTTTATATTGACTAAAATGTCTCTCTTATTTTTTTTGCTAACACGATGTTGAAAAAAAATTTCTCTCGCGCAAAAAATCATGTAGACCAATCAAAATCGTAATTTTTAAAAACTCTGATAAAACCATGTTAATTTCTAATTTTAAAATGTATGATAGTTCATATCGAGTGATGTTTATATAAAAATGAAATTAACACTATCAGATTTTTTGATAAATTCGGTCTATTTTGTAATTTTCTTGATTTTTCAAAAATCTAGTAATTAATATATGGCAATCATCTTTCCAAATAGAAACTTAGAGTGGTTAGTCTTCAAGCTTCAAACCAAGATTTTACATGGACTAATCTTGAACCTGTGGAAGCTTTTAACACTCGTTTTGCTTGCAAACTGATTCGTGGTTTTATACCGGACTAATCAGGAACCTTTGGGGTTTTAACACCAAGCATATCTCTAACCTAACCAAGATTTTAACATGGGTTTAGCTTGAACCTTGTGAATACTTTTACACGGGTTGAGCCTTTGAATCGAAACGACCAATTTAACCATTAAATCCCCCAAAACCAAGCTTTTTACTAGTTTAGCTTTGAACCAAAAAATAATCTCTAAATAGATAATATTCAACCAAGGTATAAACAAAATCCACTTGGTGAACTTACTATTATATCCTTCCCTAATTACAAGTTACTCATTTGCAAAAGAACTTTCTTGAAAAAGAGATACGGTTAAACTTTAGTGTGAGAAAGTAAACAAAAAGATTTTAGAGAGAGGTAATGAGGTGTGAGGTATAAATAACTCATGTTTCTGGATGTGAAAAAGTGAAAAAAGAGACCTCTATTTATAGGCTAGAGGTTGACACAAAAAAAAAAAGAATAGTTTTTAAAGCTTTTTATGACTTATTAATTAATTGGAAATATGCACCAATTGATTGGTATGTCTAAATTAATTGATTAACAAGATAAAAAAGGAAAGGAAAGATATTTAGTTGTGGTTCATCATTAAGATGTTGTCCTAATCATTTAGGGCTCGTATTTTAACTTTCCAAATCGATTGAGATAAGGTTCCAATCAATTGGTAAAAGCAAAACTTGCTCATAGATTTTATAACAGTTCCCA